CCAAGACAGGACATCACTCATTACATGACTAAGCACGTGTTCGTGTGAAACGCGTCTACTGCTCCTCTGTCCTGTCTTGGAGCTGTCATGTTCTTATATTGCATGTAAAGGATGTCAATAAAGGATTTCATCCACCACCATTCTGTTTTTCCATTATAACTTGGAGGACAACGTCTTAGACAAAACAGATGGCAAAAAGCACAAAAATGAATCCTAGACTTTCTACTCCTTTAGGAGTGGCACTTCCTTTCTGACAGATTGACAATCAGTCTTTGTAAGGAGCACTTGGTCCCCTTAAGTGAACCTCCTCAGACTCCAGATAAAAATCCCCTCATCCTTCTGGCTGTCTTCAGAGTATCCCAGGGCAAGGGATTCTGAGACATAAAAATTAATTAGTCACAGGGAGAACTAGTTGGGTATTGCACCTGACCACCCTATCCCTTCTTTGGCCCCGTTTGTGTAGAAGTACTCACACTGTCCTATTCCTGTAGCTTAAACGTTGAAGCTGCTTTCAGGCCTTACGCTGGGCTGGTACCTTCCCTGCTGACAGGCTGTCTTTCTTCGGTAGACTGTGGGGGCAGTGGAGGTCATTTTGTCCAGCTTTAGCCTGTAGACTGACTCCCCTCTTCTGGGGCCCCCTCCCAGGCTCCACTCCAGCAGCACTTCCTCACTCCATCTTCCAACCAACTCCCTTGCTGTTCAGGCTCTCTCATATTTAAGGGCTGACCAAGCTTCTTTGTGTCAAGGTCCTACCTTTTCCCAGAGGTTATGTTACTCCATGTGCTGGCATCCATCTTGGATTTCTGCTGAGCATGGTGGGAATCCTTTATGCCTTCAGGTCTCTGAGGTCCATCCCCCAGAGGGGTGTGGCTGATGACATATAAGCCTGTGGTCCGCACATGCTCTTTGCACTTGTGTCTTGTGTCTTTGTGTCGCTATTACTCTGTTCTGACTCTCGTGACTCTCCTGGAATCTGACTCGGCTTGTGACTCGACTATTTTTTGCATTCTCCTTTGATCTGACCCTCTGTTGCTGAACCCGGCTCGTGACCTGTGATTCTCGTCTGCTGTCCTGTACCGTTTTGTCCCGTTGTTGTTGACCCGGCCTGCCTGACTACTCTATTGTCTTTTCCACCAGCTACACGCCATTGGCGGCGGCCATTATCGCAAGTGAGGTGTCTCGGGGGCTGCGACCTGGTTCCTGGCTGCGTCAAGTCCATCCCCACCATCAGGGGCCCTGGTGAAGGGCAGCCTGGGACTTAGACTCTGTGCCCTGAGGGACTTCGGTCTGTGGGTGGTGGTTGTCGTCAGCCAGTGCGTTACATTGTTTAGGCCTGCCTGTCCGTTCCTCAGCTTCTGCCCTGACACTTTGACAGGCCTCCTGCCTGGGGATTGGCCAGATTCTGCTAAGTATGCAGATCAGTCTCTCCTCACCCCCTACCCACTGCTTCTAGAACGGACTTGCTTGCAGAACCCTTCAGCCTTAACCTGAAGTAACGTAGCTGACTTACTCCCAGGCTGACTCATGCCCAGGCTTCTAACAAGCCTATAACCATGCACACAAAAAAGCTATTTTACACTAGAGGGCATTTCACATAGTTTCATTGATCCAGCTTGGGCAGTGTAAATATATACAGTATGTGCCATATCTGTGGGCAAAGCTGCTGTTAGAAACCACAGAGCCCCATACAGCACACCTGACAGCCCTCTCCCCCCCAAAAAAAAAACAAAGAAAACCCCACAGTTTACTATGCTTCAGATATAAATGAATACAGTTAGTAATCGGTACCAATCATTTATTGTGTTCATCATCCTGAAGGATCCTATTGTATGCTTGCAGTTACGGTGGAAGGGAGAGGAGGGAACCCAGGAGCATTGGGGGGGTGTGGGCACACAAAGAAGGGTCTGGGTGACATGGGGAACCATGTGCACAGGGAGGGTGATGGGTGCGGCCGGGGGGCAATTACTGAAATCAATCCCGTTTTTTGGTTGAACTGGATGGATTTTTACTTTTTTCAGCCAGACTAACTATGCACTATGTATAGTTCTCTCTGCAGCAACCTAATGCCAGCGGTAGGGAGAAGAAGCCAGGCTTCAGCTCCTGCAATTGCACTCCCACCATGCCAATCACCCTCCCTACGCACATCCGATTGCTGGCCTGGGCCCCGTACAGTAGGACTGGTGGTACCCCCCCCTTATCCACAGCCCTGTCTGTGGGATCCTCCTGGAAGATATAAATCACTGTAATAGATTCTGCTGCTACAGGTCCCATGCAGAGCTGCTGCCCTGCTGCATTGTGAACATAGACAGTCACTTGCTTGGCACGGCTGCCATTCAGGGAACACTTTTTTTCAATTAATGCACAGTATTCCCTGATTGGACGAGGTGCAGTGACAGTGCAGTGGCATCACAATTTCCACCTTGGCCAATCAGAGAACACTTTGCATTCATTGAGAAAATGCAAAGTGTTTTCTGAATGGTGCCAGTGCCGAGGCTGTGACCTCCTGTGTTCACTAAGCAGCAGGAAAGCTGCTCGGCACAGAGCCCAGGGGCTAACAGCAGTCACTGTGATAGCGGTGCCTACTGTAGTGATTTCCAGCTTCCATGGGGATCCCACACGTATGGCACATACATAGCTACATTGGTCCAAGATGATGTAATCAAGATGTAACTATGTAAAAATTGTCATACCTAAACTTCAGCTTTAACTGTATTGCTGTCACATAGGTATACACAGAAGGTCAAATTATACATTATAGTATAACAGTATGCCCATAAGATGACCCCTGATGTGTCCCCAGTCTGCTGCAGATGGAGATCAGGGACTCATAATAGAATGTGCACTTTGCAAGTGCAGTTGCTCCAGAACTTAGTAAATGAGGTAAAGCTTCACTTTGCAAAGAATACCCAATCATGTGCAAAGAAAAAACAGAATTTTTGCACATGATTGGATGATGGAAGTCAACAGAGCGTCTGCTCATTTACTATTCTCTGGAGCAACTGCTCTTGCAGAGTGCAACTGCACTTTACACAGTGCCCAGCCTATGTGCCTATAGTAAATCAACCCCTTAGTGCAGAGGCCTTCAGACTTTCTAAACAAACAAACAAACAAAGGGCCAGTTTACTGTCCTTCAGACTTTAGGAGGGATGGATTATGGCCATTGGGAACATAAAAGGTCCCAATGTCAGTTGGAAAAAACAATGCCCCAACATAGGTTTCATTGGGAGGATGTATGCCTCATCATTGGTGTCATTGGGCCCAATCATTGAGTGTCATTGGGAGAAATTGTGCCCCATCATTGATGTCATTTGGAGGAACTGTGCCTCATCACTGGTGTCATTGGGAGGAGAAATTGTGCCCCATCATTGATGTCATTTTAGGAACTGTTCTTCATCATTGGTGTCATTGGGAGAAATTGTGCCCCATCATTGATGTCATTTGGAGGAGCTGGTTCTCATCATTGGTGTCATTGGGAGAAATTGTGCCCCATCATTGATGTCATTTGGAGGAACTGTTCCTCATCATTGGTGTCATTGGGAGAAATTGTGCCCCATCATTGATGTCATTTGGAGGAACTGTTCCTCATCATTGGTGTCATTGGGAGAAATTGTGTCCATCATTGATGTCATTTGGAGGAACTGTTCCTCATCATTGGTGTCATTGGAAAAAATTGTGCCCCATCATTGATGTCATTTGGAGGAACTGTTCCTCATCATTGGTGTCATTGGGAGAAATTGTGCCCCATCATTGATGTCATTTGGAGGAACTGTGCCTCATCATTGGTGTCATTGGGAGAAAATTGTGCCCCATCATTGATGTCATTTAGAGGAACTGTTCCTCATCATTGGTGTCATTGGAAGAAATTGTGCCCCATCATTGATGTCATTTGGAGGAACTGTTCCTCATCATTGGTGTCATTGGAGGAAATTGTGCCCCATCATTGATGTCATTTGGAGGAACTGTTCCTCATCATTGGTGTCATTGGGAGAAATTGTGCTCTTTCATTTCTATCAGTGGGAGGAAATTATGCCACATTGTCGATAGTGCCCCAAGGGCCAGATTAAAGCAAGCAAAGGGCCACATCTGGCCCCCAGGCCACAGTTTGGAGACCACTGCCATAGTGTGTCATGGCCTTTCTATTGTTGTTAGACAATATGGAGGATGCAGTGATATGCTTTTGTTGAAATCAGTTGAACTGTCTGTACTGACCCCTTTAAAATTGGTCGTGGGTGACCTGACCATATCAAAGTAGAAAATGTTGCTGAATCTTTGGGTCCGTAATGGAAAACACAAGTATGTTTAATTAAAAGATCAACTGCTGCTGAAAACTGAGACATTTTAAGATCAAAAGCTAAGATTTAAAAACTAGCTCCGGAGAATATGCAAAATGTTTCCCAAAATAGCACAAATAATGAGCAGTGGGCAAGGCGGATAATTGGAGAGTGAATTAGTTAAGGGGGGCAGGGAACAGACGGAATGACTTGCTGTGCCCAAGGAGGGTGAAAGCAGTGCCATCAGAGGGCAGAGGTAATGTGTGTGCATGTATGTGTGTGTGTGTGTGTGTGTATGTTTAGCGTGTGTGCATCCCGGCTGATCTCGCACAGGAATTTTGGAGGGAGTGGAGGGGCACTGCATGCTCAGTCCTGCGTCTGTTTGTATGAGGGGGGGGTGGCATTACACCATACAAGCATTTCTCTTTTGTAATCTGACTCTAGGATTCAGGTTCAGCAAACCCAGGTAATCAGTAACCAGACTGGATCATCCGATGAGACAAGAGGTGGTGTGATTCTGCTTTTCCCCACCCAAATCTGGGCTTTAGACAGCAAACTTCGTGAGTATTCTAGCCCTCTTTTTTTTTCTTATTCTGTAAGGTCTCTGTACTGTAATTCTTCCTATAGCCATTAATTATCTGTCTGTCCATCTGTTTCCTGTCAAGTGTAATGATCATGGACCTGTGATCTATTTCAGGTTGTACCGCAGTGTTTGCTTAGGGTCACGCCATGATCCTACCTGGCTCCTTTTTGTTGTTGACCTTCTGCATGGTCCTTGGACCACTCCAGATTGTGGCGGATGAGGCTGACTATGAAGAAGAGATTGTCCTCAGGCTTGTCATGGAAGAAGATGCCCAAGTTGACAGTGAGAAGATGACTCCTGGGGTTTTCCTCTGGAGTAACAAGGTACAAAATACAGCTTGGTCTACCATTAAATCTTGAAATGTGCATGGTACACTAAAGTATACCCAATTATCCAAATGACCTATTTATGATAAAAACGCTGTGAAATGCATTCCCTCGATTGATGTCATTCCATGGTTTGGTTGCACATGGTATCACTCTTGTGAATTATAGTGGAGGATGCCGAAGATGATTTCTCAAGTAATGGTTCATGACCCAAAAGTGGGTCATGACCAGGGGAGGACTGGGCCACGGGGCAAATGCCCCCCAGGCCTCTTTATTGCCTGAATAAAACACCCAGTGCCCTTAATAAAAACCGCTGGCCGCAATGATATAAATGTTAAGACGACCAGGACTGGGGCCGGGACTTTCATTTTCACTAGCGCTGTAATTACTACATTTTGGATGGAAGCCGTTTGCTTACTGTTTAAAAAGTGCATATACATTGTAGAATACTGCACACGTTGTTTAATAAAATATGTTTCGGAAATTAAATTATTTTTGGGTCGTGACTTAATAACCAATGACAAATGTGGGTCCTGAGGTTCCACAGGTTGAGAACCACTGTCATAGATGTTTTTACTTTAGAGCCCATTCACCTTGTGCGACTTGTCATGCAACATTGCGGTCCAAAGTCACATGACAAGTCGCGCCCCATGTTTCACTATGAGTACCATTCAAATCTGTGCAACTTGAAAGTAGTTAGTGCACTACTTTGGTGTGACTTTTGATGTGACTTTGGTCCAGTGAATGCAAAGTCGGATCAAAGTCACATCAAAGTCACGCTCCAAAGTTGCACTGGAAATCGTGCGATTTTAGAGATGCGCTAATGTGAATGGAGCCTTAGTTTCGGTAGCCTGTTTTTTACAACTTGGGAGATGCTATGTTTTTTTTTATTTCTTTTTCAATTTAGTGAGTTTTAAGAGACAAATATAGTATATATTCAGTGAGCATGTACTTTATTATAGCAGTGTTTAGCTTTACATCATTTCTGATATGCCTTTTATATGTTTGCCTTTACTCATTTCTGTTAATTGTAATATTATAGTGATTTGTAGACTACCCACTAGGAGGAGCTCTCAATGGCTTAGTGCAATTACTCTGTTTTTTTAATAGTTTTTTAATAGTTTAATAGTTATTCCCCCCAGCCCGTGCCCCCTCCCCTGACTTCTCTATCAAGATTAATAACACAATCATCAGTCCCTCCCCTCATGCCAGGGTACTAGGTGTAATCCTAGACTCCCATCTGTCCTTTCAGTCCCAAATCCAATCACTGTCCAAATCTTGTAGACTTCACCTTCGCAACATCTCCAAGATACGCCCGTTCCTAACCTCGGAAACCACTAAGCAACTTATTCACTCCCTTGTTATATCTCGCCTCGACTATTGTAACTCCCTCCTCATTGGCCGACCTCATCGCAGGCTATCCCCTCTTCAGTCTATCATGAATGCTGCTGCCAGACTCATCCACCTTACTGTATCTGCCATCCCTCTCTGCCAATCCCTCCACTGGCTTCCCGTTGCCCAACGGATAAAATTCAAAACATTAACAATAACATATAAAGCCATTTATAACTCTGCCCCAAATTACATCATCAATCTTGTCTCCAAATATCACCCAAACCGTACTCTCCGCTCCTTGCAAGATCTCCTACTCTCTAGCTCCCTTGTCTCCTCCTCCCATGCTCGTCTCCAGGACTTTTCCAGAGCTTCCCCCATCCTCTGGAACTCTCTACCCCAATTTATCAGACTATCGCCTACTCTGCTCACTTTTAGGTGATCTCTGAAAACCTATCTCTTCAGGGAAGCCTATCCTGCCCTCAGCTAATAATGGAATCTTATACTCTTCCAACCAGTCCACCCCCCACAGTTACTACCTTTTTTACCACTAGCCCCTCCCTCCTAGATTGTAAGCTCCAAGGAGCAGGGCCCTCCTATCCCTCTTGTATTGAACTGTATTATTGCTGTATTGTCTCCCGTTATATTGTAAAGCGCTGAGCAAACTCTTGGCGCTATATAAATCCTGTATAATAATAATAGTAGCTGTGATGAGATAGCAGCCATGCAGCAAATGCATTGTTTTCAACAAGTCACATGACCCAAAAACTTGAATTGTGAGAAGGAGAAGTATTAATTTATTCCAGGCAGTTATATAGCACCAACAATTTATACATCACTTTGACACTCACATCAGTTCCCGCCCACAAGGAGCTTACAGTTTAAGCTCCCTATCTCAGATGCATGCAAACCAGGGCCAATTAACCTGCCAGCATGTATATGAAGTGTGGGAGGAAACCGCAGTACCTGTAGAACATACAAACCTGATGATAGTGTCCTGTCCAGAATTCAATTATTGGAGCCCAGTGCTGCAAGACAGCAGTACTAACCACTGAGCCACTGTGCTGCTCGTAGACCACAACCACTGTGTAGCAGGAGGTGAAGCCTGTGCATGCAATCAGTAAATATGGCTGCCTTTATGTATATATACAATTACAATACAAACTATACACAGAAACAAGGGATTACTTTGTCATGTTGCATTTTTATCTAAGAGAAAAACCTAATGTGTTGAAAAAAACTTGCTTCAGTCATTTAAAGCCTAACTCCAGCCGAAATGTGTATTTTCAGTTTTGGATAAAGTGGGGAAAGGTTTACATTTCTATCAGGTTTTTATTTCAGTGTGAGACCTGGGGGAGATTTTCCCTCACTTCCTGTCTCTATGACCCCGCACAAGAAATCTGTTTCTTTTGTTGGTTTCCCAGTCGGAAAGACTTCCCTTGTACTGTCCAAAACAGAAGAAGAAAGTTTGGGCTAGAGTTGGGCTTTAAATGTACCAATAAAGGGTATCACTTAAAGTGTATTAACAAACCTTAACAATTAAAGTGTTACTAAACCCACAACAGTAAAATCAGTCTGTATATGCAGTAAAGCATGCTTGTTATACTCACGGTGGAACCTAAGGGGTTAATCCTCTGCATTGTGTAAAAAGGCCCTTTGATCCTTTCTTCTCTGTTCCTCCCCTTTTTCAAGTGACCACCTCCTGATAAGATAGACTGAACAGTAGGAGTTTTGCATATGCTCAGTTTGGTGTGTATTGTTAGAGAGTTTTTTTTTTCTTGGAAGAGTGCATGTGATCAGCACAAAGCCAATCAGCACTGTCCAGACAGAGGTCAGGGGTTCTGCATTCTCCTAGAGCAGAAAGAAAACTCCTCCTACAAGAGTTAACCAGTGATCTGCTGGACACTGATAGAAGTCACAAGACTGCTCTAACTGCTGATGAGAAAAGGTATTTAGCAGTTTATGTTTACTAAATTAATTGCATTTCCATGTTCTGTGTACTGTGGGAGACCAGATATAGTGAATGCAGGGTCCGGGGAGAGCAGATATAGTGAATGCAGGGTCCGTGGAGACCAGATATAGTGAATGCAGGGTCCTGGGAGACCAGATATAGTGAATGCAGGGTTCGGGGAGACCAGATATAGTGAATGCAGGGTCCGGGGAGAACAGATATAGTGAATGCAGGGTCCTGGGAGACCAGATATAGTGAATGCAGGGTCCTGGGAGACCAGATATAGTGAATGCAGGGTCCGGGGAGACCAGATATAGTGAATGCAGGGTCCGGGGAGGCCAGATATAGTGAATGCAGGGTCCTGGGTTTAGCAATACTTTAACTTGTATCATTGGCTCCCTGTTGGGTGGTTCAATATATCACTGAAAATGTTTTGTTATATCTGTTCAATAATTGTAAAAATACAGTGCTGTCTTGTGCATTGGTATTTTAAGCACTGAAATAAATGTGGCCAAGTTCACCTCTGTGAGCTACAGACCACCTCACCACTATGTTATAGAAATGAGGAGAGGGAGGCTTTCCAATGATGACAACATTGCTCCTCCATAAACACAGCACAGTGAGTGAGCGTTGTCACCCGAGGACAAGGATGTGTATTACTGGCAGGATCGCCAGTTGAAAGTAAAGGAGAAAACCAAGGCAGCCGCCCAGGAGCGGACTGACAACTCATGGGGCCCCCGGGCAATAGGGGATCATGGGGCCCCTGTGTCCTCACTCACAGCCAAAAAAAGCCTATGAAAAAGCCAATTATAGGTACCAGGGGCATCTCATGGGGCCCCCTACTGACCCCAGGCCCTCGGGCAGTGCCTGAGTTTCCAAATGGTCAGTCCGCCCCTGCAGCCGCCACATCTAAGGACTGGAAAGTTGCAATATATTACATATTTAATCTTGGTTTTAGACATGTGTTAAGCTCCACAGTTCCTGCATTGCTCAAATGCTGCAACACAAAGCTACTACTAAAAAGCATTTAAAAATAAATATTCCTTTTTCAAAATCAAGCTCAGATTAGTTGAGCTGATGTAAAATGTTTGCAAATTAAAAGCTAACCCTGCCCAAAGCCGGTCATGGTAACATTAAACCCTCAGCAGGTTTTAGCTTAATACATTTAGCACAATATAATAAACATTCCCCAGTAAACTATTTGTTAAACTTCTTACCCTGGCACTAGCAGCTTACAATTTTCAATGCTTCTGGCTCTTGCTCTCTCAATGCTGCTTCCCTGAACTTCTTCACAGAAAAATTGCAGACAGCACAGTCTGAGTCAGTCTGTTAGTTTGGAGAAGGGAGGAGCAGGGGAGTGTTTTGCAATCCTAAAGTGCAGGTCTATGTGTTTCTATTAAAAAGAAATATAAGCGAGCGCATCTAATGAGATCTTATAGTTAGTGTTATACCTAGTAGTCGTTAGTACTGTAGGGTATAGGTAATAATTTACATATTCATAAATTCACATAAAAAGAGAGTATAAAAGCAAGTTCTAAAAAATGATATGTAAAATTATGTAAATAAATTAATTATGGATAAATGAAATGGCTGTTAGCACTTAAGGTATCGGTAACTGTCCCAATGTAAACGTATATCATAAACGTGCAGCGCTGTAAACTCATGAAACATAAATATCTTATATCATACTTGAATATATAAAGTGCAAACAAGTGCTTGAATAGTGCAATCAAATAAATCACTGAGAGTCCGTGACAACCACAAATATTATACAGCAGGCAGTGAAAACTGCTAATGTCCTTTATCCAAGTGTGCAAATGCAAACATGCGGTTATTAATGAAGAGAATCCATCAATAACCGCACGGGAAGGGAGCCTACATTGCGGACGTCACGCCGCCGCTACCGAGGAGCGGCGGCCATCTTGGATTAGATGACACCTGCCCCAACTGACGGATGGAGGGAGCTGCAGGAGTAAATCCAGAGCTGTCATTATACCCCCAGATGTGTGATATAAACAGATGTGCTGATTTACTTGCAGTCTGGTGAGTGTACATCCATCCGAGGCGGTGGATTCTCTTCATCAATAACCGCACGTTTGCACTTGCACACTTGGGTAAAGGATATTAGCAGTTTTCACTGCCTGCTGTATAATATTTGTGGTCGTCACGGACTCTAAGTGATTTATTTGATTGCACTATTCACGCACTTCTTTGCACTTTATATATTCGAGTATGATATAAGATATTTATGTTTCATGAGTTTACAGTGCTGCACGTTTATGATATACGTTTACATTGGGACAGTTACTGATACCTTAAGTGCTAGCAGCTATTTAATTTTGCACTTTATATATACGAGTATGATATTTCGAGTTTATTTATGTTTCATGAGTTTACAGCGCTGCACGTTTATGATATACATATATGTGTTTCTATTGATGCACACAGAATAGATAGACACTCTAGTCCCTGCATATAAGGGTAGCTCTATAGGACACTGAAAGACAGGAAACCTGGGGCAGCAGTCATGGCACCAGCTTAACCACTTGCCTACTGGGCACTTTCATCCCCTTCCTGCCCAGGCAAATTTTCAGCTTTCAGTGCTGTCACATTTTAAATTATTATTGCGCGGTCATGCAACACTGTACACATTTGTAGCATTTTAGTTTTAGACAGATAGAGCTGTCTTTTGGTGGTATTTAATCACCACTGTTTTTTTTATTTTTAGCTAAGCAAACAAAAAAGACCAACAATTTTGAAAAAAAATTTTTTTTCTTAATTTCTGTTATAGAATTTTGCAAACAGGTAATTTTTATTCTTCACTGATGTGCACTAATGAGGCTATGCTGATGGGCACTGATATGCAGCACTGATGGGCACTGATGGGCAGCACTGATGGGCACTGATAGGCTACACTGATGGGTACTGATGAGGCGGCACTGATGGGCACTGATAGGTGGCATTGATGGACACCGATAGGTGGCACTGAAGGTCACTGATAAACGGTACTGACTGGAGGTACTGATAGACACTGATTGGAGGCACTGATAGACACTCACTGGTGGCATTGATGGACACTGGCTACACTAATGAACACTGACTGGCAGCACTGATGGACACTGACTGGCGGCACTGATGGACTCTGGGGCTGCACTGGAAAGCCTAAATACATTTGCCGATTACTGGCTCTTCGCTTTCCTCACGCTGTGAAAGCGTGAGGAAAGTGCAGCTGATAACCGGCAACTGTATTTACATTGTGATCAACTGTGTCATTGGACGCAGCTGATCAAGTGGTAAAAGGGTGCTGTGATTGGCCCCTTTACCATGTCATGTGATCAACTGTGTCCAATGGACACAGCGATCATAGAGCTCGCCAAGTGGGCACCACAGGGGCGAGCAGGAGGCGCAGTTCTGGAGGACGTCATATGACACCCTCCCAAAACTAAATGACCGCACTGTAGCCGTCATTCAGCTATAGCCCGATCGTCTAGTGATTAAAGAACATAGGCAAGGATTAAAAGACCCCCTGTTGCCTTCAGAACTGATTTCATTCTTTGTGGCATGGATTCAACAAGGTGTTGGAAATATTCCTCAGAGATTTTGGTCCATATTGACATGAGTTGCCTTTCTATCATCTCGAACCAGTCTGCACATTCTCCTCTGACATCTGACATATTTTCTCTTTTTCGGACCATTCTCTGTAAACCCTAGAGTTGGTTGTGCATGAAAATCCCTGTAAATCAGCAGTTTTTTTTAATCCTCAGACCAGCCCGTCTGGCACCAACAACCATGTCATGTTCAAAGTCACTTGAATCCCATTTCTTCCTCATTCTGATGCTCACTTTTGAACTTTAGCAAGTTGTCCTAACCACATCTAGATGCTTAAAGGCATTGAGTTGCTGCCATGTGATTGGCTGATTAGCAATTTGTGTTACCAAGCAATTGATCAGGTGTACCTAATAAAGTGGCTGGCAAGTGTATATGATTTATAGAAAATAAATAATTGGTAATGTTTTACAATTAAAAACAATCAATGTTGAGTCCAACCTCATTTCCAACACAGAATCAGATCCCATGATTCTTCCTTCTTGAACTCACATTGGGGAGCTTTCGACAGCTTGCCATATTTAGCAACCAAAGGGTATATCTACTGTATCTCCAGACCAGAATCCACCCTGGTCATATGCAGTCAAGTCCATTATTGACAATGGTTCTACAAGGGTTCTACCAATTTTTGGTCTACCTCACTGTCAAGACTCCTGTATCTGATCTACGCCATTGTTATATAATATGTTACCACTTCATTCCAAAGGTCATGTAACTTTCCCTTGTGAAGTCTTTTTCCGCACATTGTAAAAACTATCTTGTTTTAATAAAAAAAAAAAAATTAAATAGGAAAAAATGTAGAATTCCAGAACCTAGAACCATCAGAAAGGGAGATAGAAAAACTAATATACAACCATAATCACACCATAAGGGTTCATGTACATGCGGCATTTGGAAACGGACTTCTGGAAAACAGAGGTTAAAAAACGTCAGTTTAGCCACGTTTGCATATCAGGTTTATGTGCGTTTGCGTTTAGAAGTGTTTTTAAAAGATAACCTCAGGAGACGTTCCCAAATGCCCAGAATTCACTGAAAAATAGTAAAAAATTAACTATTTCAGACATTTTGAGAGGAACAGAGAGAGCAGAAGCAGAGAGAGCAGTATGCGTTGAGATGACCTGTCTTTTCTGGCTGTATTCACTATGGATCCCATCATGAGCATAATGCGGCACGTTCTACCATTTTTTCCTTCACGTAAAACCTGGACCTGACTGCGCTGGTGTGCCGGGTCCATTTGAATACATGGAAAACGCTTTGCATGCATTTCTGATGATGAAAAAAGGCTCTGGACAGCATCTGGACAATTAAAAAACGCTTCTAAATGCAAACGCTTATAAACACGGTTAACCGCATTTACAAGCATTTGGTGTTTGAAATGCCGGTAAAATCTACTGAACGCAAGTTTGGTGCGTTAAAAAAAGACTGTAAACTCAACTGCCTGTAAATGAATGTAAACAACATCATGTACATGGACACATGGGAAAACATTAGGGAGAGTTCAGGGGCTGCAGACAAAAATACTGAACAGCTCCTGAACATCAGTTTATCAGCTGCAGTGTACAAGAGCCCTACAAATTGACAGTACATATTATTTATGTTACTTATATAGCACCATCAAATTATGCAGTGCTTTACATATATCAGTCCCTAACCCTCAAGGGGTGTACAATCTAAGGTCCCTAACTTACATTCATACATACACATACTAGGGCTAAATTAGACAGGAGCCAATTAACCTACCAGCATGTCTTTGGAGTGTGGGAGGAAACCAGAGTACCCCGAGGAAACCCACGCAGGCACAGGGAGAACATGCAAACTCCAGGCAGGTGGTGCCATGGTTGGGATTTGAACCAACGACCCTAGTACTACCAGGCGGAAGTGCTAACCATTTAGCCACTGTGCTGCCCATATTAGCCAATAGGTGTTGTAAGTAACTTCTGTCACTGCACTTCTGTAACAAATGTTCTCTCCTTCTGATGCTTTATTACAGGAGGCCTGGAGAATGTCTGGCCAATATGTGGTGGTGCTGAAAGAAAACACACACAAGTCTCAGACAGAAAGGGTGATCCGCCGTCTGCAGACCCGGGCAGCAAAGCACAGCTATCTGACTAAGATTCTTCATGTCTTCCATGAACTATTCCGGGGTTTTGTGGTTCGGATGAGCAGTGATCTGTTAGAGATGGTGAGTGACCTATTTGTCAGTGTTGGTTGGGGATTTACCGCGGCTTTTTGTATAAGCCAAAGGGCAAATGAATAATAAGATACTGACTTTTTATTTAAAAAAACATATTCTTGCTGCAATTTTACCCTCGGTTCACATCTACAGTTGCAAGAAAATGTATGTGAACCCCTTGGGATTACATGGAGTTTTGCATGAATTGGGCATAAAATGTGCTCTGAACGTCATCTAAGTCACAACAATAGAAGAACACAGTCTGCTGAACATAATACTACACAAACATTAGATGTTGCCATGGTTTAATTGCACATAACATGTAAACATTCACAGTGCAGGGAGGAAAAAGTATGTGAGGCCCTAGCTTAATGACTTCTCCCCAGAGCTAATTGGAGCCAGGAGTGAGCCAACCTTGACTCCAATCAGTGTGATGATATTGGATGTGTTGCTGACAGCTGTCCTGCCCTTAAAAAACACACACCTGTTTTGGGTTTACTGGTTTCAAGAAGCACTGTCTGATGTGAACCATGCCTCGCAGAAAAGAGCTCTCAGAAGACCTACGATCAAGAATTGTTGACTTGCATGAAGCTGGAAAGGGTTACAAAAGTATCTCCAAAAGCCTTGATGTTCATGTGTCCACGGTAAGACAGACTGTCTACAAATGGAGAAAGTTTAGCACTGTTGCTACTCTCCCTAGGCGTGGTCGTCCTGTAAAAATGACTGCAAGAGCACAGCGCAGAATGCTGCATGAGGTAAAGAAGAATCCCAGAGTGTCAGCTAAAGACCTACAGAAATCTCTGGCACATGCTAACATTTTTGTTGACACATCTACAATAAGGGAAACATTAAACAAGAATGGAGTACATGAGAGGACACCACGGAGGAAGCCATTGCTGTCCAAAAAGAATATTGCAGCACGTTTGAAGTTTGCAAAAGAGCACCTGGATGTTCCACAGCACTACTGGCAAAATATACTGTGGACAGATGAAACCAAGATTGAGTTGTTTGGGAAGAACACACAACACTATGTGTGGAGAAAAAAAGGCACAGCATACCAACATCAAAACCTCATCCCCACTGTAAAACATGGCGGAGGGAGCATCATGGTTTGGGGCTGCTTTGCTGCCTCAGGGCCTGGACGGATTGTTGTCATTGATGGGAAAATGAATTCCAGAGTTTATCAAGACATTTTGCAGGAAAACGTACGACCATCTGTCCGCCAACTGAAGCTCCGCAGAGGATGGGTGATGCAACAGGACAATGACCCAAAGCATACAAGTAATTCAACAAAACAATGGCTGCAACAGCACAGAATACGCCTTCTGGAGTGGCCCAGTCCTGACCTCAACCCGATTGAAATGCTGTGGCATGACCTTAAGAGAGCGATTCACACCAGACATCCCAAGAATATTGCTACACTGAAACAGTTTTGTGAAGAGAAATGATCCAAAATTATTCCAGATTCTGATCTGCAACTACAGGAAACGTTTGGTTGAGGTTATTGCTGCCAAAGGAGGGTCAACCAGTTATTAAGTCCAAAGGTTCACATAATTTTTCCTCCCTGTACTGTGAATGTTTACATGTTATGTGCAATTAAACCATGGCAACATCTAATGTTTGTGTAGTATTATGTTCAGCAGACTGTGTTCTTCTATTGTTGTGACTTAGATGACGTTCAGAGCACATTTTATGCCCAATTCATGCAAAACTCCACGTAATCCCAAGGGGTTCACATACTTTTTTTGCAACTGTAAGCGTTTTTTGCAGCATTTTGCAGAAATACAGTGCAGTCCATTTAACATGATTTCCTATGGGACATGTTCACATCTTTGCGCTTTCACCAGGTGCGTTTTTTGGACAGGGTCAGGGACTTTTTTGAATGCAAAAAAGTTGCGTTTTTGGTTCTATAGACACACTGCAGAAAAGCATGTATTGCATTTTTGCTGTGTTTTTGCCACATTTTTGGTGCGTTTTGCATTTTAAGTCTGCTTAGCAACAAGCAAAATAAACAAAAATGAAAAACAAAATTTTTAAGGCATCAAAAATTCGGCAGAAATGCAGATGCAAAAACACAACACAAAACACAATGCAGAAATGGGTCAAACGCAACCTGCATAGGTGTGAACCTAGCCTAAAATAAGTTTTCAGCTGACTTTAACAGCACTGCTTTAAGTGACACTGTCACCATGGGGTCTCGTCTACAGACAAGGCAGTGCATCATAAAATAGACCATATGTGTCAAAAACAAGGCCGAATCTAGCTGGCCAGGCAATTTTATGTGGCCCTTGCACCTCTTCTACAGCTCTGGCACCCCTATGTCTCCACCCCCGCCTTGTCTCAGCAGTCAGCAGTAGAGAGGAGGACAGAACTCCTACAGATTCTGCACCTCTCTGTGCAGCACCCTCTTGTCTCTGCCTCCCCTGGTCTTGGCATTCAGCAGACTTCAGCAGCTGACTCCAGTCCTCCTCTGGTCCTCCTCCAGACCCTGCACTTTCTGCTTCCCAGCTCTGCTTCCAACATCTTCCCAGCAGCAGTACAGGGTAAGGGGGATGCACTGTGATTAAAGGGAAGGTGGGGGACTCTTGATATCTGATGTAAAGGAGGTACGGTGCTCTTGACATCTAATTTTACAGATACAACTGTTCCTTTGAGGGCAACCATAATGCTGATGTGGCCCGCTATGAAACTGAGTTTGACTCCTTTGGAATGGACAATACACTTACATTTTTGGCGACCTGCCACTTCGCTACACCCCAGCAGCTGCACATACCCTACACATCGTATAGAATACCAGTTCACCACCACTGAGCACTGCGTTTTTTTCTTCCAGTTTGTAAATCTCTGTAGGATGTACTGAGCCAATGGGAGGAACCAGATTATGCAATTGGGGGTAGTAGATAATTAACCCAAAGCTGATTGGAGGGAAGGGACACATCCCCTTCACACAGCACACAGGAACAGAGCTGAGGCTGTCAATTAACCACCTGTGTGCTGAAGCGCTCCCCGCTGTCACCTTTTTAGCTCTTGGTGTCAGGGAAACTTGTCAGAAGCGACTCATGCTGACAGCAGAGAAGACAACAGACAGAAATGACACTTAGTTCTCTGGACTGAGACAAGTACACACTATAAAGAGATATGCTTTGTTCATGTTTCATGTCTGAGGTTCACAACCACTTGAAAAGAGAAAAGAAAATGCTCATGAAACGCTTCATAAATACTTGGTGATGCTCCTCAGAATATCATCTACAAGTAAGATTGAACAAAGACCGTGTATGTAGGGTCTAACGTTATATCTACAGCTCTGCAAAAAACTACAGGCAAGTGTTGTCCTAAGCTTTCACTACAGCTGTCCTGTTAGTTTTGTGCCAGACAAGGACATTCCTTTACAGTAATTAAACAAATCTCTTCTGTACTTGCACAGGGTTTCACAATTCATCACCCTAGTCAATGATTGCTTAAGTCATGTATGCCTGACAATATTTGTGTGTGATGACAGCAAACGTGAGTGCACAGCAATAAATTGTACATCGTATATGTCCAAACACACATAGACCAAGATGTGCTTACTTTTCAGCTCTGATTTTAGAGCCGTTTAAAGCTAAAACGGAATGTATTTTGTTTTTGTAAAGTTTCTTGATTATGTTTAGGATTAAATATATTTAACATGTTTTTAGTTTTTATTATCAGATAAATAAGAAATATGCTATTACACTTTTAAACATTTGTTTTCTTTAATGCTAGATTGCGATTAATAATAAGAATGGATGCATCATTTGGTCAATAAATCAATAAAAGAAAGACAATGTACAGTGTGTCTGCCCACATGGAAGAAAATATATTTTAAGTATATTTTAAAAATATTCTTCCCAAATAAATTGACATATATCTGAAAACCTACAATTTTGGCTGTATTCAATATATTTCAATATATATACTGAATGTTGAAATGCGTTTTTATATATTACAAAATATCTGAAAAATATTTTTTTAAATATATTTTTTTAAAACATATTCTTCAGATTTTTTTTAACATGTAAAAAAGTCATTTTAACATATATTTTTACATATATTTGTAAATGCATTCCAAAAATGTAGATTGAATGTATTTTTAATGACATACAGTATATTTGAAAATGTATTCTTAAAAATGTTTTTCATATATTTTGTAATGAAAATGCATTTCAACCTACAGTGTATATATATATATATATATATATTTATTTATTTATTGAAATACATTTTTAAATATATTGAATATAGCCAAAATTGTAGGATATTGTAGAATATTTTTTAAATATATTTAAAATATATTTTTCTTCCATGTGGGTGTACTGGGTGTAGGGCTGAACATTAAGAAACACTTGAATAGATAGTGGTTGGACTAGTGGGTAGCGGGAGAAGGGGAGGGGGGGTCCTCAATTATTAAATTATACTCTAAGTGTAATTCAGTTTAAGAGGCGAAGTGGAGGGTCAGTTGGAGGATCATTGGTTAGGAGTCTGAGTTGATAGCACTTGAATTAAGTTATTTTGCCACTTTGCTGTGAATGGATTACTACCTACTCCTTCTCCAGCTCATGCAACTTGGAATGGTGTTTCAGTTAGACCGAACCAAAAAGTAAGCAGCCCCTGCTCGAGTATCTTACTAAAATTTCAGTATGTTCTGCAAAGACTGTATCGTAGAAGCACCCTTTTTAAATGTTTATTTATAAAAACTGTTCCATACAACTATTGATAAATATAAGACCAGTTTATATACTTAGAAGATTGACCAAGTTCCATTTTATTTATCTTTAAAGAGTATCTATAGCCAAACCTGTTTTAATTTGGATAGAGTATGGAAAGGGTTATGACCCAGGGGCGGACTGACCATTTGGGAACTCGGGCACTGCCCAAGGGCCCGGGGTCAGTAGGGGGCCCCATGAGATGCCCTTGGTACCTTTTTCATAGGCTTTTTTGAGTTTGGGCAAGGACACAGGGGCCCCATGATCCCCTATTGCCCGGGGGCCCCATGAGTTGTCAGTCCGCCCCTGTTATGACCCCTGTCAAGAGAGATTTTCTCTCTCTTTGTCACAGTCAGGGGTCAGGCTCAGAGACCAGTAGCTATAGCAGTGGAGAGGCTCCCACAACCAGCAGGATAGGAATACAAGCAGGTCACCATGGCAGATGACACGGCTCACACGAGGTGCTGGGTCTAATCATTAACAAGTATTCACCAGAACTCCTGATGGTGGAGATGGGTTTTGCTGCATGTTAGAACCAGGTCATGGTCCTCAGGATCACCCCACCAGGAGGTGAGCAAGCCGGGGTCCAGTAGCAAATATAGCAGGTAGGAATCAAGCATAAGCATAGCTGAGGAACAAGCCAAAGGTCGGTAACAAGTGGTTGCAGGTTCGGATCAAGCGTAAGCAAAGTTGAGGAACTAGCCAGAGGTTGATAGCAAGTAGTTGCAGGTTGGGATTAAGTGTAAGCATAGTTGAGGAACTAGTGGAAGGTTGGTATTAAGTTGTTGCAGGTTGGGATCAAGTGTAAGTGTAGTTGAGGAACAAGCCAAAGGTCGGTAACAAGTGGTTGCAGGTTCAGATCAAGTGTAAGCAAAGTTGAGGAACTAGCCAGAGGTCGATAGCAAGTAGTTGCAGGTTGGGATTAAGTGTAAGCATAGCTGAGGAACTAGTGAAAGGTTGGTAATAAGTGGTTGCAGGCTGGGATCAAGTGTAAGTGTAGTTGAGGAACAAGCCAAAGGTCGGTAACAAGTAGTTGCAAGTTGGGTGTAAGTGTAAGCAAAGTTGAAGAACTAGTCAAAGGTTGGTAACAAGTAGTTGCAGGTTGGGATTAAGTGTGAGTAATGTTGAGGAACTAGTCAAAGTTCGGTAACAAGTTGTAACAAAAACATGGAGGGCAGCAGGAGTGACAGGAGCGAGATATTGGCTGGAGTGAGCACAGTAATCTGGCAAACATGAAGTGCAAAGGCATGGCCAAAATAGGAAATTCATGGAAGGAGCAAAGGAGCCAAAAAAAAAAGACACAAGGCAAGGTTGTCTAAGGATTCAGGCAAGGAGCTGCCCAGCATCTGAGGTGGCTCATCAGTGAAAGATACTGTTAGGAAGGAATCCTAACTTTCTGGATCGACATTCTTCTGCTGTGTTAACATTCTACCTACAGTGTTATTACAGGTCTGGGACTCTTGTCCACACCCCATGCATCCTTCAACCCTTCAGTTCTGGAGCTGCAATTACTCACAAATGTTTAAAAGAGGTTGAATAAAATTAAAAATAGTTTGAAAATATATTTTGACGCTACCTGTGATTCTTTGCCATCCAAAGCATAGGCCCTGAGGGTAGGGTATTATAGTAAATGCTTTTTTTTAGACTTGTGACAGCACATTGTTGGGATACACTTGCATTGATTCATTTCTGTTCCAGGCCTTGAAGTTGCCGCATGTTGATTACATTGAAGAGGATGCCTATGTTCTTGCTCAGAGTGTCCCTTGGAACCTTGATAGGATTGTCTCCACACATGTAGGAAACCAGTTCAACCCCCCAAGTAAGACTCTTAATTATAGCTTTATTTAAATTGTAACTCCCGACAAAGATTTAAAGCAGACTTAAACCTCTGCATTAAGAAATTAATTTTTTTACATTATTTCATAATGTACTCGTATGCACTGCAAATCAGTACATTATGGTAGACTTACCGGCCAAGCAGTTTCCTCCAGCGCTGTGATGTCAATGTTCTCTGCTGTCATGGGTGTTTCCTTTTTTTCCCCAGTCTTCAATCTGGGTCTTCAGCAGCTTAATTGGCTGAATCGTGATGATGTCATTGCTGCACATACGCATTGGCGTCACATCATCAAGGCACAAAGTGGTGCTGGAAATGTATGCTGATCTGCACATGCAGGGCTCAGTGTACATTCATTTATTTATTACAGATACTTATATAGCACTGTAAATTTACACAGCGCTTTACATATATATTGTATAGTCACATCAGTCCCTAACCCCCAAGGATCATACAATCTAAGATCCCTAACTCACATTCATACATACACATACTAGGGCCAAATTAGACAGGAGCAAATTAACCTACCAGCATGTCTTTGGAGTGTTGGAGGAAACTGGAGCACCTGGAAGAAACCCATGCAGGCACAGGGAGAACATGCAAACTCCAGGCAGGTGGTGCCGTGGTTGGGATTTGAACCAATGACCCTAGTACTGCCACGCGGAACTACTAACCATTTAGCCACTGTTATTAATGCTGACAGGCAGGAAGAAGAAGTTCTAACAGAGGATACCCATAGGGTCTCTTCTGTCATAAAAACCCTACCTGTTATCATTTTTCTTCTGAGTTTAATTGCACTTTAAATACACAGATAAAATACATATTAAGGAGTGGTTTTACCTGGCAAATGTACATCCAGTTCTGATACTTACACAACTCTTCCATACAGCACAGCCCTGTCTGGCAGGGCTTTTTTTCAGCAGGAATGCAGGGGGAACGCAGTTCTGTCACCTCCTGCACTGAATGTATGTAATGGCAAGGGGTGCTAAGGTGTGCCGGAGGGTGTGCTGATGCTGGCTGCTGGGATATATTTTGACCCTAAGGGGGGCTCTATTGTTGCTGGTGAATGATCTATTGCTGCTGGGGGGGGTAATGAATTGTTAATGGGAGGGATCTACTGTTGAAGAAGGGATCTAATGTTGCGAGTTGCTGGAGAGTCTATTGATGCTGACTACTGGGAGATCTATTGTTGGCGGCAGGGGTCTATTATACTATTCATGCTGGAGTGGATCCATTTTTGCTGGGGGGGGGGTATTTTGCTGTTAGGCATCTATTGTTGGGGGAGGAGGGTCTATTGTTGCTGAGTGCAGGGGATCTATTTTACTCTTTTCTTGTTATCATTAACAAATTCCATACAAATCGCTTAGCACCACAAAATGATACTTGGTTCTGTAGTCTCTAAAAGGGGTGGTAGGTAGGGGGTGGAACCAAGGGACTGTGTTCGGAGGCAGATAGAGGGTGGAGACAAGGGATGAGAAAAAAAAAACGCCCGCCAAGATATCTCACTGTGGCAGTATCTAAGTAGCCAAAGGCTGCCTTAGCTTGCCAGAGCTTCACCTATAGCTATTACTTTTGAATGAACAATCTAAGTGGTTCCTCAGTTGGGCTTTGAAGCCTATTACTAATTAGATTTGAGAAAAGTAGTGGATTTGGTTGATATTCAGACAGCAAAAGTATGTTTTTGACATAGTTTTTTAACACACGTTAAGTTAGAAAACAATTTTCTGGACTGTCTGTAAATTTCTGGACAGTTGGCAAACTGGAATACAAGCTATTTAAAAAGTATAACAGTTATAGAAGTTGGACACCTACATGATTAGAGCAGGGGTGCGGCCTATAGAGGAAGGTGCAAAATCCAACAATTAGGGCAAATACCACCACAGGTAATGCATTGTCACCCAATGAATGATCACTGGCTGCCATTGAAAATTAGAATGCATTAAATATTCCATGAATATGTTTTTCTGTTTAGATACAGGAGATCTGGTGGAAGTATATCTCCTAGACACCAGCATACAGAGCAATCACAGAGAAATTGAAGGGAAGGTTCTCGTCACAGAGTTTGAGAATGTACCAGAGGAAGATGGCACCAGATTCTACCGACAGGTCAGTCATTTCCTTCTTTATTAAAATAGAATGCATTTTATAGATATGAAAAAAAAAAAAAAAACAACGCTCAATTTCAAGAGAGCTAATTTTCCGAGGCTGAGAGCGGCTCTCCAAGACTTAGACTGGGAAGGAATATTGGCATTGATGAACACAACACAGAAATGGGAGTTCTTCAAAAAGACTGTATGTGAACACACTGCAAAATATACTCCCATGGGCAACAAGTTTAAAAGGCTATAGATAATAAGAATTCAATATAAAAATGAAGGAACGCTATCATCGTTTAAACATTACAAAGAATATAACAGAATATGCAAAAAGGAAATAAAGGCCGCAAAAATTGAAAACGAACGACAGATTGCAAAAGATAGCAGGACCAACCCCAAAAAATTCTTCAAATATATTAATAGTAAAAAGGTCCGGTCTAAGCATGTAGGCCCTTTAAAAATAATCTAGAGTGGGTTACTGGGGACAAAGAGAAGGAGCATGGGGGAGCTCTTGTCCATAGTGGGCATGGTATTGACACAGCTCCAGATGATCCACATTGGCTCACAATTGATATGATCCAAAAATATTTAGACAGAATAAAGGTGAATAAAGCACCTGGACTGGATGGCATACACCCACGAGCAGGGGCTGACTGACAACTCATGGGGCCCCCGGGCAATAGGGTATCATGGGGTCCCTGTGTCCTTGCCCAAACTCAAAAAAGCCAATGAAAAAGGTACCAGGGTCATCTCATGGGGCCCCCTACTGACCCCGGGCCCTCGGGCAGTGCCCGAGTTTCCAAATGTTCAGTCCGCCCCTGCCCACGAGTCCTTAAAGAATTGAGCTTTGTCATTTCAAAGCCATTGTTTCTAATTTTTAGGGACTCTTTAATGACTGGCATAGTACCACTGGATTGGCGTAAGGCCAATGTGGTGCCAATATTTAAAAAGGGGTCAAAATCTTTACCAAGTAATTATAGACCTGTTAGTTTAACTTCTATAGTTGGGAAGATACTGGAGAGTTTAATAAAAGACCACATAGATGAGTTCTTGCTGGAAAAAAATATTTTAAGCAACAGACAGCATGGATTCATTAAAGACAGAAGTTGTCAAACAAATCTGATTTCTTTTTATGAGGGGGTGAGCAAAACCTTGGAAAGAGGGGTGGCGGTGGATGTGGTATACTTGGATTTTGCAAAAGTGTTTGACACAGTTCCCCACACACGGCTAATGTGTAAGGTAAAGTCTACGGGCTTGGAAAAATTTGTATGTAAAGGAATAGAAAACTGGCTAAAAGATCGTATTCTGAGAGTAGTGGTTAATGATTCGTAAGAAGCATTTCTAGGTCCTGGAGTGGCCTAGCCAGTCTCCAGATCTCAACCCCATAGAAAACCTTTGGAGGGAGTTGAAAGTCCGTGTTGCCCAGCGACAGCCCCAAAACATCACTGCTCTAGAGGAGATCTGCATGGAGGAATGGGCCAACATACCAGCAACAGTGTGTGCTAACCTTGTGAAGACTTACAGGAAACATCTGACCTCTGTCATTGCCAACAAAGGATATATAACAAAGTATTGAGATGAACTTTTGATATTGACCAAATACTTATTTTCCACCATAATTTGCAAATAAATTCTTTCCAAATCAGCCAATGTGATTGTCTGGATTTTTTTCTCATTTTGTCTCTCATAGTTGAGGTCTACCAATGATGCCAATTACAGGCCTCTCTCATCTTTTTAAGTGGGAGAACTTGCACAATTGGTGGCTGACTAAATACTTTTATAAGTTCTTTTTTTCTTATAAGTTTCCACAATAAAAAGTATAGCTTTTCTCATCCCCCCCTCCTTAAATTCATCAGGATTCATGGCAACCCCTTATCACCATTGCCCATTTTGGAAGAAAATTGTGAGTAGGGTTGGGAAATTAATGTTTCAGACACTGTTTATATCTGTCAGAACCGGGGTCACTTTTCTATCATAGAATTATGATTACACATTAGGGATTTGTGACGCCCAAAATTATTATTTCATAAGGCATTGTAGTGAACTGGTTAGGGTTCCTGGGGACCCCTTCACCAGTCAGTTGATTTGTGGGTGATGCTAGTTACAAATACTATTTTATCAGAGATGAGTTTTCAAAGCTATTGCAACAAGAAGTGGTCAAATGGGCATTTTATTTAGTATTACTGCAACACACATGTACAGTAGCCGCCAACATGCCTGCAGTACAATGCGTACAGTGTGCCTTGTAGTATGCTGCATTGCTGATAATGCTGCGGGTACATTTTTTGTGTGTTACAGGATGCACAAGTGGATAGGGGCACTAGAAATGATCAGGTAGAATTAAAATGGAGGTGGGTTTCAAACAAGTTGGCTTTCCTTAAAGTGGTTGTGAACCCCTACATATGCCTAATGAAGTGACTGGCCTCAGGTAATACAAAAAAAAAGAAACAAAGATCCTACATAAATTGTACCTATCTATCCTCGGTCTTATCTTCTTTACAGCCATTGAAATTGCTGAATTTATAAAGCATGTAGAGCTGTCAAAAAAAAAAAGGGGAACTCAAGTTAAACTCTACAAAGATCAGTGCGGAGAGCTCTGAGCACTGATTGGAGGGAAGGGACACACCCCTCTTCACTCAGCACACAGGAACAGAGCTGAGGCTGTCAATCTGCTGGAGGTCCTTCCACTGTCACCATTTGTTTTGGTGTCAGAAAAACTTGTCAGAAGTGATTCCTGCTGATAGCAGAGGAACGAAGCAGCTGACAGAGATGACACTTAGTGCTCTTATCTGAGGCAAGTACACACTGTAGAGGGATAAGCTTGTTCATATTTCATGTCTGAGGTTTACAACCACTTTAACAAACCTTATAGTATAGGGAGGGGGTGGGGAGGAAATGCACTGATCATTAAACTGTAACTTGTCAGTATGAGCGGCCTGACCATTTGAATTACACTTTAATTTGTAATCTGTAATCTGTTGTATAATAATTCTGTATTCTGTTGTAATAATAATTCTGTAGTCTGTAATCTGTTGTATGTTTAGGTCACTACATATATAAAAAGAGTGCTAATTTTTTAGTAAGAACCTGTTATGTCAAATATATATTTATTTTTTTTGCAGGCCAGTAAATGTGAAAGTCATGGAACACATATGGCTGGAGTCCTAAATGGAAGAGATGCGGGTGTTGCCAAAGGTGTCAATCTCCGCAGCCTGCGAGTTCTGAATTGTCAGGGTAAAGGGACAGTGAGTGGCAGTATAATGGGTAGGTATACCTCCTGATAATGTTTGAAATACATGACAGGGTTTAAAGTCCTGTCATTATCATATCTACTTACCAACCTTGTTTGGGTCATTTATAAATGGATATCAGAGGTGGCTTTTTTAAAATACAGAATTAACATTATATGCAATCTACCTGTAAGGGCTCCAAAGAGAAAGATTACTGTGTGTTGCCAGAGCTGCAGAAAGTCTTGTGACTCCTGTGGCTATAAGACAAATAAAGTCCACAATCTGATTTTTCTAATGCAATCCAATTTAAGACTTTTTTTCTTTTAAAGCTGCCCATACAGTATTTCATTAAACTTTTAAATTGTAAAACATTTTTCAATACAAGAAATTCTGTATCTTTTTCAGGTCTGGAGTACATCAAGAAGACATTGATTGAGCAGCCTTATAGCCCCTTGATCATTCTTATCCCCTTTGTTGGGGGATATAGCCGAACACTCAATATGGCCAGCCGTACACTCATCAAATCTGGTGTGGTGATCATTGCAGCGGCTGGCAATTATAAGGATGATGCCTGTCTGTATTCTCCAGCATCTGAGCCAGAGGTGTGAAAAACTAATGTACTGTGGTCTGGAACAAAGTTTGATTACTTCACTAGAAATCAAAGATTAATCCCTTAATAGGCTTAAAAAGTAGTCAAAAAGGAAAGCAAAGTAGTCCATTGCTCTACTAGCATTTATATAAAAAGTTACTACTACATTTTTACGATATTCTAATGCCATTTGGTTGCATAAGGGCTGTACAACAGACCTTAGCCAGGACCACTTTTATACTCCTATGCTCATTCAGGAAATTTGACCCAACTTGTCCAGCAGAAGAGTGGATCATGCCCAGTTATGGACAAATGTAGAAGAAAAAGCCTTTCAGCACTTACCCAGTTTTCTCCTTGATTTAACTGATAATAGAAATGGTCATGCTACAGGTGTAGTTGATGTAAAAGTGGATTGACCATCCTGGCAATTTTAAATTCAGGTTGCCATCAGGGGCCTTTTTTGTCTATTATTTGGGCTGATTATATACAAGTCCAAAATAGGCTAAAGCTGGCCATACATGGTTTAGTTTTTTTCTCAGCCAGAGGGCTGAGCGAAAACACACAAACCAATTCCCCAATCCACACAATTGAGGTGGTTGGGGGAATCCTCTCCTTTGTGTCACTGTATTCTGACAGCAAAGGAGTCCAGCTGAGTACTCTAAAGTTTTCCAGTAAGACCATTCGTGAGCAGCTGACCACTATATCGACTGCTTTCAAACAGGACCTGCCATAGATGGATCAAAATTTTGATCCATCCATGGCCAGATTAATAGTTAAGGTCCTGACAGCCTAAAGGCCATCTCCATCCAAAATGTTTTCATGTCTCAGTTGTTTTTTGTCAAATAGATCCATGTTGCTGTCTACTTGTATACTTTAGGGAATTCATAGTTCAGATTTATCCCACAGAATTTACAGATTAGCCAGGTTGAGGTGGCAATACACAGCCAATGTCAAGCTCATTCTATGGATTTTCAGACAAATGCGGCTGTTGGACTGTGGCACCTTCATGGTGTCCTTGTGAAAGGGGGAAAAGACACCAAATGCTGCAGGAAATCTTGGTATTAGAATCTTTGAGGGACCTTAGAAACAGGCAGGAGAGGCAACTCAATTCTAATTTAATTAATCATATAATTAACTACACATACAGTAACGCTTCCTTGCTAAACTCAGCCGTTACACCTAGGCCTGAGATTGCATGATTCTGTGACAGTCATTTGCAGAGCAAACTTTGCAGGTAACCCTGGATCATGAAAAAATGTTTTATTGCTTTAAGCTTTATTCATCATGCCATGGAACAATATATATTGGTCTCTTGAGCAGTCTTTCTCATCCTTTGTAACTTTGAAGAATCCAAAAATAATTGGTCAAAGATCTCACCCCTGATGAAAACAGTTAATTGAGGTTAGGGGTATCCATGCTACTTACAGTGGTAACCAGTGTGAAGACAGCCCTCCTCCTTACAGTGGTGATCAGAATGCCAACCTTACAGACAGGTAAAAATATCACTGGTGTCGTGTAGCTGGGCCTGCCAAGTGGCATTGGCTTTGAGACTATGCAAAAACTGTAAATTTAAAATGGGAGGTAACCCAGTCACAGCTCAAGGAACTTCTAGCATCTTTGGAGGAACCCTGGTTGAGAATTTCTGCTTTAGAGTAACACCTTGGTTTGCCTTTTTTATTCTGTGAGAAAATGTGTTTGTTGGATGCCTTTGTCTTATACAGGTTATAACAGTTGGAGCCACTAACTATGAGGACCAGCCAGTAACAATGGGAGTGCTTGGTACAAATTTTGGAAATTGTGTTGACTTGTTTGCTCCAGGAGATGATATTATAGGGGCCTCTAGTGATTGCAGCACTTGCTTTACATCTAAGAGTGGAACTTCACAAGCAGCAGCGCATGTGGCAGGTACGGGTACCTACAAAATCCACTGGGCCATGCAAAGTGCAATGGCTTTATGCGAATTGCAGTAACCTGTGGCATTTTACATAAATAGAAAAATTCTGAGTAGTAGCTTAGATTACTGCATTTGCTTTCTTTAATATGTCTATGTATCTTTTACTATGGGGAGAAGCCCTTGGCTTTCCTAGGTCTAATAATGGCTTCCTAATGTTAATTTTTTTGGTATTCCCACTGTGGAGGCCTGTGTCATCTTACAACAATAACTAACACTGTATCATAATTATTACTGTAATACCAACCTGACAGAGTTACTTGAAGTCTGTGTAAAAAGGATGTAACATAATATTGCATGGTAGTTTTGGGTCCTCTTTAATGCAAACGAAATATGTATCATTATGATTAACCTGAGGGCCTTTCCACTGTTAGTAAAGTGGTGCAGCAATGTCTAGAATTGGGGGTCTTTCCTCAGAACAGTGCTGTTTGGTAGACTGAATCACATGGCAGCAGTCCAGGTCCACCCACAATGAGTCTGCTTTCCAGCTAAAGGAAAAGGTCAACTCCATTCAAGCTTTGGAAATCTACTAAAATCAATACATTTCCAAGGCAAGAGGTCTATTGTCTTTCTACCACAACCATCAAATAGTAATTGGAGGATACTGTTGTGTGTCCCAGTCCAGTGGTCTGAGAGTGAGATATTTTACTGAAAGTGGTAACCCCCTCTAAGTCTCCAGGTATGAATAAGGTATTCATAGTTTATAAGGGTTTATAGTGCTGGCATACAAAGCTCACATTTTGATGATGTTTTATGTATTGATATCATTACCGTTTCTTCTGCCAAATTGGTTTGTTGGTCACCATTATGTAACTGTGTGTTCTAGGTATTGCAGCAATGATACTAAATGGCAAACCAGACTTAACTGTAACTGAACTGCGACAGCGGCTCATCCAGTTCTCTACTAAGAACACCATCAACGAAGCCTGGTTCCCTGACGACCAGAGACTAATCACTCCCAATAGGGTTGCTGGATTACCTGTTAAACTAGCCAGTGGTAAGGCACTGTAACTAAGAACATTGCGGCATCAATTGCTTCCTCCCCTGCGCTCTTTATTACATTTGTCCACATGTTAAATGGAAGAATTGTCTCTGACCCCCTTAGCACCCAATCAAATTGTTTAATTCTGTTTTACAGCAAGGCAGAATCAGGTTGATTGCTATGGGATAACAGATTGCCTAGTTTTTTGGGGGTTTTTTAGTCTTGGACAGATTGGGTAAGACCCTCTGCTATTTTTTTTTTCTTTTGGTGGGTCTCTGCAAATAGATTTACTCCAAAGCCAACAATAAAGCAAATTGTCCATTATATCTTCTCAGCCTGAAAGAGACACCTGAACTGTAAACTCCAGCAGCTGCCAAAGCAAACTGCTCTCTGGATAACACAAAGTTTTGTATTCCCATGGCATGTTGACATACTATGGCTGCTGGGGGTACACTGCAATGGACAGAACAAGAAGCAGTTCAGTTTGTTCATACTTTGTTTTTCTTCTTATCTGAAATGATATTCATGTTCATGTATTATTTATTTTTCTTTACCCCTTCATTAATACTGTAATATTAGACTACATATATTTTTAATTCTATACTGCTATGAGACTACCCATTAGAAGACGTTTTCCTCATTAGGATCAGGGATGAGCTCAGATGTGTATGGATCTTAGTCCGAACCCATCTGAGCTATCCTACCTGAAAGCCATCACTTCTCACTGCCAAACATAAGCAGCCAAGACATATAACTGTTTTTTTTTTCTTCTTTTCTTAGACGAGGAGCTCTTGTGTCGAACGGTTTGGTCCAAACCATCAGGCTTTGCCCGAACAGCAACTACCTCTGTCCAATGTACTGAGAATGAAGAAATGTTCAGCTGCTCCAGTTTTTCTAAAAATGGAAAAAGGAAAGGGGAGCAAGTAGAGGTAGGTGTATAGAACATACATCTTACATTAAATAGGCTGTAGAATGTAATTTTACCTGCAGTGGGTATAACTGAAAAATGGTATGACCAACTTGAGGCTTTCAAAGTTTAACAAAGCCTCAGCATACTTAATGGGAAGGATACACTGAGTCATGTAGTGCCTCAAGAGCTGGGGAGCCACAACCCAGGTTTAACTTACAGTGCATTTAAAACTCTATTCAACCTTACCTGCTCACTATCCTGACCATTTACTGACCTCAGATAAACTAAAGCATCTTCTCACCATTGGATCTGCACAGTTACGGGTACTACCTTAATGCTACAAAATCCACCAGTGCCAAAATTAGTGTAAAATAATTTCAGATATATAATGCTGCTGCTCCTTAGCGATTCCACTAATAACACAAAAAAGAAAGAGCACAAAAAATATATATACATAATATAAATCAACTGACAAAAAAAGGAAAAAAATAAAAAAAAATAAATTGGTGCAGAAATGTCATAGTCCCACTCCAAAAGTAGGTAGAATTCAATACACTTGATCAGATACAATCGTCTCCCAAAAACAAGAGATCTTGACCAGTGTTCACACCCGTTGTGTAATTCACACACCGCACTCACCAGAAATAGGTAAATGGAATGCTTTTATGTTATAAAAGCAATACATCAGGGATTCACAATGGAGCTATAAACATAATTGTGCACAAAATGCACTAACCGTAATAAAATGTGATATAAAATAAAACTAGCAGCAGTGCACTCAATGACCTCTCATACTAGTCATCAGAAATTCCAGTATACATTATATTGTCAAAAGTATTGGGCCACCCTTTACACACACATGAACTTTAATGGCATCCCAGTCTTAGTCCATAGGGTTCAAGTTGGCCCAACCTTTGCAGCTAAAACAGCTTCAACTCTTCTGGGCAGGCTGTCCACAAGGTTTAGGAGTGTGACTATGGGAATGTTTTACCATCCTTCCAGAAGCGCATTTGTGAGGTCAGGCAGTGATGTCGGACAAGAAGGCCTGGCTCACAGTAATTTATTTACGGTGTTCTATCGGGTTGAGTCAGGACTCTGTGCAGGCAAGTCAAGTTCCTCCACCCAAAACTTACTCCTCCATGTCTTTATGGACCTTGCTTTGTGCACTGGTGTGCAGTCATGTTGGAACAGGAAGGGGCCATCCCCAAACTGTTCCCACAAAGTTGGGAGCGTGAAATTGACCAAAATGTCTTTGTATGCTGACGCCTTAAGAGTTCCCTTCACTGGCACTAAGGAGCCAAGACCAACCCCTCAAAAACAACCCCACACTATAATCCCCCCCTCCACCAAACTTTACACTTGGCACAATGTAGTCAGGAAGTACCATTCTTCTGGCAACCGCCAAACCCAGACACGTCCATAGCATTGCCAGACTGAGAAGTGTGATTTGTCACTCCAGAAAACATGTCTCCACTGCTCTCAAGTCCAGTGGTGGCGTGCTTTACACCACTGCATCTGACGCTTTGCATTGCACTTGGTGATGTAAAGCTTGGATGCAGCTGCTGAGCCATGGAAAACCATTCCATGAAGCTCTCTCACTGTTATTGTGCTAGTCTGAAGGCCACATGAAGTTTGGAAGTCTTTAGCTATTGACTCTGCACACAGTTGGCGTCTTCTACACACTGTCACCTCTGTCATTTTACGTGTCCTACTACTTCGTGGCTAAGTTGCTGTTGTCCCCAGTTGCTTCCACTTTGTTATAATACCACTAACAGTTGACTGTAGAATATTTAGTACCAAGGAAATTTCATGGATGGTCATATTGCACAGGTGGAAACCTATCATGGTACCATGCTTGAATTCAATGAGCTCCTGAGAGCGACCCATTCTTTCACAAATGTTTGTAGAAGCAGTCTGTGTAGTATCACATTTATATTAATTATTATTATGTAACTAGCGCAGAACTATTTTTGATATATTGATCTATGTTAAAAAAGTAATTGCCCCCTAAACCAAATAACTGGTTGTGCCACCCTTGGTGGCAACAACTGCAACCAAGTGTTGTGATAACTGGCAATGAGTCTTTCACATTTGTGTGAAGGAATTTTGGCCCTCTCTTGTTTTATTCCGCCACATAGGAGGGTTTTCGAGCATGAACAGCCTGCTTAAGGTCATGCCACAGCATTTCAAATGGGATTTAAGTCCAGGACTTTGACTAGGCCACTCCAAAACCCTAATTTCGTTTTTTTTTTTTGGGACATTCAGAGGTGAACTTGTTGATGGGTTTCGGATCATTGTCCTGCTGCATAATCCAAGTGCGCTTGAGCTTGAGGTCACAAACAGACATTCTCCTTTCTGGAAGAGCGCAGAATTCATGGTTCCATAAATTATGGCAAGTCGTCCAGGTCCTGAAGCTGCAAAGCCCTGCAGCCCCAGACCATCACACTACCACCACGTTTGACTGTATAATGTTCATTTTATGAAATGCTGTGTTAGTTTTATGCCAGATGTAATGGGATGCACACCTTCCATATTGTTCAACTTTTGTCTCATCAGTCCACAGAATGTTTGCCCAAAGGTCTTGGGGATAATCAAGATGTTTTTTCGCAATGTGAGCCGAGCCTTTGTGTTCTTTTTGGTCAGCAGTGGCTTTTGCCTTGGAGCTCTCCCATGGATGCTGTTTTTGCCCAGTCTCTTTCTTATTGTAGAATCATGATTGTTGAATCCTGAACACCGACATTAACTGAGACCTGCAGTTCTTTAGGTGTTGTTCTGGGTTCTTTTATGACCTCCTGGATGAGTCATGCCTGAAATAATTTTGCTAGGCCGGCCACTCCTGGGAAGGTTCACTACTGTTCCAAGTTTTCTCCATTTGTGGATAATGGCTCTTACCAAGGCTCACTGGAGCCCCAAAGCCTTAGAAATGGCTTTGTAACCCTTTCCAGACTGATACATGTCAATTACTTTAGTTCTCATCTGTTCTTGAATTTCTTTAGATTATGGCATGATGTTTTGCTTTTTGAGATCTTTTAGCGTGCTTCACTGTGTCAGACAATTTCTATTTGAGTGATTTCTTGATTCAGCAGGTCTGGTAGTAATCAGGCCTGGGTGTGGCAAGTGTAATTTAACTCAGCATTCCAAAAATGTGGTTAACGACAGTTCATTGATGATTTAGCAAAGGGGGGTGGGGGGTTACTATTTACTCTGATTATCTTTGTGTAATAATTTTGTTTGATGATCTGAATATTTTTATATGCAAAACAATATAAAAAAAGAAGGGGACAAATACTTTTTCACAGCACTTTACCTGATGACCTTGCCAGTATCTTTGTGTCTCCACTCCTTTCTGTTTAATACTGACAACACTAACCATGGGCTGAAAAACCTGTTATAGTGTTGTCAACCCAGCATGTTTGTTCCAGCACTGGGATACAAGGCACCATGCTGGGATGCATGGTGTGACTAGAGTCTACCATTTTTCACCCTTCAAAATCTGTGTAGCCACAGAAAGAAGTGCTGCTGCTGCTAAAACTATGCCGGCATCCTCCCCATTCCTCCACAGCCAAAGCTAGCTTAATAGATCCCTGAAAGATTGCAGTCAAGCGCCCACCAGTAAAACCACCAATAATAGGTAATATACATTTTTTTTTTTTTAAATTAGTAATGGTGTTTTACATACAAATGGAACACCCTCCTGCACTAGCCTCATTCACAACTTCTGCATTAACATCTACTTTAAAGCTGAGAAGCTGTAAGGTGCACCATCATGTCCCAAGCACTCTTTCTATGCTAAATCTGTTTCACTAGGTGAGCTATTTTTCACCATGTGATAACTTTCAGATAACATATATAGGTGTCAGACAATATCAATATGTACATTGAGTCATCTCTGCCACTTAATCAGAATTCATCATCCACTGATCTGAATTGAGTAAACATTAATCAGATCAACTGTTTTTCTACACTTGGAACTTTTGTATTGCACAAGCCCAATATTTGTCTGTTGTGCTGACACCATATTGATAGCTATGCGTACAATTTGTTACGCAGGTCAGGATTCTGGAAGATACATATGACTGATGATATTGACTGGCTTTCTTCAACCCACAGGATAAGGATGGTAAGAAGACCTGCATTGCCCACAATGCATTTGGAGGTGACGGAGTATATGCTATCGCAAGATGCTGTGTTTGGCCAAAAGCAAATTGCCAGGTTAATGCTAGTATTCCTGATGATACTAACACCATGACCACTGCCAGCTGCTCAGAGGAGGACCATGTTCTAACAGGTACACACTAATAATTTAAAGTCATTGTAAACCTCAAGCATGAAATATGAACAAAACATATCCCTCTTTTGTGTGTACTTGTCTCAGTCCAGAGCACTAAGCTTAATTTCTGTCTGCTGACTTGTCCCTCTGTTATCAGCATTAGTCACCTCTGAAGTTTTCCTGACACTAATAGAAAAATAGTGATGGGAAGGAGCTCCAGCAAACAGCCTGTGGTTGACAGCCTTCGGCTCTGTTCTTGTGAGCTGTGTGAAGGGGGGGTGTCCTTTCCCTCCAATCAGCTATCAAAGTTCTGCTCACTAATATAATTTCAGCTCTCCACCCCTGCTTTTCAGAGCTGATACAGTATATCCAATGTAAATTCTGGACTTTGAGCTGATGCAACGACAGATTGCAACAGATAAACAGGTACAATTTATGTAGGAGGATTTCTTTAATCTCTGTGTATTGCCTGAGGTCAGTCATTTCACTGGGTATATGTAAGAGTTTACAACCACTTTAAAGCAAACTCATAAATACTGTACATCACTGGACATTGCAATGACTGATTATTTTCAAGGAATTCAAGGGAATTCCAGCCAAATAGCTAGTTACGCATTTAAATTTAAAAAAATATTTAAAATTTCAAAGATCCATCATATTTTTTCAGTTCTCTATTACTTTGTCTGAAGTTTTTTTAAGTGCTTTCTAACCTTTGCTATGGGATCAAACCTGCTTCTCTCCCCCCGTGC